ACTCGTAAAACTAACTTGTCTTTTAAGGTTGGTGTATGCTCCTTTTCCTTTTCTGTCGGCAAACACAAAACATTCGAGAGGAACGTGTTCGCTTGTAACGATTGCCAACCATAATGTTGTTGCTTTTCCAACTTGTCCGCATCGGCGGTCAGGTAAAAATCCGGCGGATGATGCTAAAATTGGCTGCTGAAGATTTTGGTTTCAGTTGATGGAGACTACAAGTGGGAGAAGCAAAAGATAACGGATGAGGAACGCATGGTTCTGCCTCTTCTTTTCCACCATTTCGGGGGTGGGGGAGGGCAGGAAGAACGAGAAGGGACAGGAATCCTTCGCTTATGTAGCGCATCATCAAAGTCGATGTCGCGCAGGATGACGAGGTAGACGGAAGCAGTAAAATACTCTGAGCTGATATCGCTGAAGCCAGTGGTGGAGTGGTGGTAGAGGGGTGAGGGGGGGGGGGTCAAAAGGGGTGGAATGGGTCCGTTTCCGGCTGCCTTTTTTACGTCTACTTCTGACAGCATCGGCTAGTAGTCGAGTTCAGAAAAAAGCTAGCATGGTGAAAACCAGGTGGGCAGGGCTAGAGCAGGTGCGCCCATTCCATTCCTCTTGATCCCGCCCCGACTGATTGCGGCGATATCAACCGTAACTCATTTACTCCCCATACGGGTGGAAGGTGTCAAGTTCAAGCAAGCTCGAGTGTTATATTAGCCATTGAATAGCTGCGGCGATTTCGCCGTGAGTCATCGGTGTGCGGTTCCTGGAGGCTCTAACAGTGCAAGACGCTTGACGTCCAGCTATTTAGGCAGCACTTCAGTAGTTCATTTGTTCCTCACGTCTCCCACCCCTCACATCAGAAGCGCTGGGATCCCATGCGCATCATTTTCACACATTCTGAATAATCCGGATACATGGGCTTCATTTGCCTGCTAAAGAGATGTTCGCCCTTTTATTACGTGTTCTAACCCCATGGCCATGACCAAATTGTAATAACTCATGCCTTTGAACTGCCATTTACCTCGTCACTCTACTCTGGAGAGTCTAGAATTCCCTCTATAAACTACCTAAAGTTCCTTTGCCCGCCCTGCTATGTTCCGTGATTATGCTTTGATTCGACTTGTACCTAACCTGAGCTAACTCGTGGGAAACGGAAGAGGAGGCAGAATCGACGCGGCGGCACATTCAACTATTACTAATCCCAGTTTTCCGAAACGGGGGCCGGATCCTTGATCGATACATATTTTTCTAGGGGGCGGATTTGACTGAAATTAGGGTTCTTAGAGGGTAATTGGACCTCCTGATTTTGCTGAAAGTGCCTGCGCAACTGCCCGCGCCACAGGCCCCCGCGCGGCGCGCAAAGTACCCTAGATCACCAAATCCGCTAAAAACTTGTACCCAGGGGTAGTTTGACCTCCTAAACGCTAATATCGCATCCGCTCGGCCTGGAACCGCTCGACGTTACGGGCGCCGGCGTTAAAAATGTCGCAGGTCACTGGCGCCTGTGGCGCGGGTGCCAGGCACTTTCAGGCAAAATGGATGTGATATTCGTGTTCAGGAGGTCCAATTACCCCTAGAACCCAAGTTTCAGCCAAATCCGTCCCCTGGTCACTGGCGCCTGTGGCGCGGGTGCCAGGCACTTTCAGGCAAAATGGATGTGATATTCGTGTTCAGGAGGTCCAATTACCCCTAACCCAAGTTTCAGCCAAATCCGTCCCCTTGGAAAAAAGTCGATCAAGATCCGCCCTGTTTTCGCAAAACTGGGGTAGTAATAGTTGAATAGTGCCGACGAGACAATACAGGGGGGTGGGCAAAAAAGTCGCTTTCCATCATTGGCTATTGGAGCGCTATTAAGTTATCAACTCTAATTCGGAAATTTCTGAGCGATATATTATAGAGCATATTAAATACTATCATGACACTCCGCCACTCCGGGGAGGCCTTCTGGACGAGCGCCATCGAGAGATTCTGGCACGCGACCGCGATGTGGTGCCTGAGATCAGCGAGATAGTCGATTTCTCCGCCACCGTAGACCACCCTATTGAACTCCGCCCGAACCGGTAATTGAAAAGGGGTTTAGGTCAGGTGACCTACTTGGATATTCCATCTTCTTTAGGTACTCAGCCCCCTTCCATTTCAAGTAGGCGACAGTTTCTCCAACGCCCTTCGATTCCATGTGGTGGCAGCTCAATCCTGTAGCAGTACAAAGTTTCCAAGAAGGTACGGGCAACGACATGTGAGCAGGATATTCTTCTCGAGTTGCTCGATGTAATAGCCAGTCCGGATCACCTTCAGTCCGGATCCACGAAGAAAATATTGGTCTTTCCATTCCAGGTACGTCCGGTCCATACCATCAACCCGCGCCTTGGCGACTGCGGTGAAGATGATGTCCTAGACCGTGGCGACGTTGTCGGAGCTGCTCGATGTTGGAGGTCTTCCAGATCGAGAGTACTGGTCTCCAGGTAGCTATCCATGGGTGACTCCATACTAGAAGTTTCGCAGCTGTTTGGAGGTGACGTGAATTCCAAAGGTCTTCTCCAGTCAGGCTGCGACTGGAGATGACTTCATATTTTGGTGTACATGAAGGTGATGGGCAAGAGCCAGCTTATCGAGGAACGTCTTGGGTATCTTCCGCCCTAGTACTCGTATCCACGTCTTCTGTCTGGGCTGCGAAAACTTTGCTGATAAGTGACTTATCAAAGTGACCTTTTTTTGTCCCCCCCCCCCCCCGCTACCTTGGCCTCAAGCTGTGACACAGACCGGTTTAGTCGAGACTCAAGAAATGCATATGCCACTCGCATTCTGCAACGCCTCTGCGGTTATGAAAGTAGATCGATACGTGGCGCCTCTAAAAGGTTCATTCCTTCTCCTGTAAAGTTCATTTCCTGTATCTTGCTTGACTTTGTTCCATTTTTCGAAAAACGGCGCTGTTGGCTTGAGGGGGATGAATATCTAATGGTTAGCACGTTCGCTAGTTCCGATTCCTAAACCCTAATGGACTGTATAGGTCCCATCTCGGTTAGTAAACTCTCAAGCGACGACAAGTGGCAAAAGAAGCCTCTGCTACTGCATTGTCGCACAGGAAATTCACAGGTCTCTACAGTAGAACACTGATGGAATAACATGCCTCCACCAAGCCGAAATGTGCCCTCAGAACTTACCTCGATGGCAATCGGTAGCGGCAGATCTTTAGTGAGACTGATTGTTCTTATCATATCATGAGTGACATATTCGATATCGGTGAGATTCCACATGAAGTTCTCCGCGGTCGGTTCAGCAAAATCCTCATCATTAACGGTATCAATACTCGAATGGTATAATCAAAGGCTTGTGCCCGCAATATCAAGCGGGTGGGACTCCTAACCGTTCCTCACTGCGACCCTACTTGGAGGGGGGCACATCAGTGAGCTAGGAACAATTGTTATGAGCGCAGGGGCAGGCGGTTGTCGCCAGCGTTATTGGCGGAAGGTCTGAGTGGATGTGGCTAAGTGCCCTCTCGCAGCCCCTCCTCCAATAATGGCCACGATCGCTCGCCCTTAGCAATCGTGCTCACTGCCCTCTAGCTCGCCCATGAATAATGCGAAAGGTCAAACTCCTTCTATTTATGGGTAGTTTCCGGAACCTTAATTAGCAATGCTTCCGCTAGGGTGCGGGAAGGAGATCCACGGGCGAATCTTTCGACGACGTGCGATATCAGCTAAGTGGTATCACGTAGTTAATTGGAAAACTCTTTGGCACTTTCACGTTATGACTTGGGGTAAATGCCGCGCACGTGACGCCACAGGTAGCACTACCTTCGCCGCGTCGTTACAGATCTCCTGCCTACACCCTGATCCTGCACTTTTTGTAGAGAAGCAGAAATCGGAACATGCACCCAATTCAATAGAAATGTGAGTTAGAAGGATGAAGCCAATACTAACTTCCGTTGAGAACTTTCCCCTTGATAACAATTTGCCGGTGGGTTTGTAGATTCGTTCGACTGAAATTCAAGGGCAATCGCAAAGTACGTTTGACTACAACTACAACACGTTTATACTGCAAATCCAGTACAATGCCTACTTTTGTTCCACGCTTACAGCTTGATCCCTGCAAAACGATGGGGCAGGTGCACAGCTTTTGAGCGCGGCCAGAAGCAGATCCCACCACTTGTGGCGAAGCTCAGATGTGCGATCACGGTGAAAATACGATGCCGGCGTCTGCGCTCATTTCAGCCGCCACCCCTATCGTTTGCAGGATTGTGGGCTGTAGCACCGCGCCCACCGGCACTATAAGAAAGCTACGGTCGTCCAAAAGAGACGGGTACCCCGAAAAAGCTACATTGACGAGGTGACACGAGCCGAGGCCAACTGACCACCCCCTCTTTTGGTATAGGTGGTAGGGTGGGGGAGGGGGTCGAGCCATCTCACCCATCTCGATGATGTACGCTGCTCGGTGACTTATCTCATCCATCCAGTAATACATGCCCCACCGAGACCGCATATTCTCGCTCTGAAAACGTGCACTGGAAGCGGTTCCTACCACATATGCAAAATAGTCGCCCCGTGTGTTTTTTTTTTTTTTTATTTTTCCGCGTGCTCTGGCGCTCATGCTCGCGCCGCTTTCACTAACAGAAAATTATTGAGTTCTGGTGGCAATGCGCGGCACATGACGCCACAGCAAGCGCCGCTTAATCCAAGTCGGCGAGTCAGGATCGGCGGAGAACAGGTTGTTTATAACGCAGTAGACTACCATCTGGTAATCCTTCTCTTTTTATCATACTAGGAGGAAGGCACAACATAAAAACGCACCTTGGGGGGTGGTTTGGTCCCGCCATCCCATTATCGCGAAATGTATCTTTGATACAGCGCCTCGCGACCGGATGCGCGACAAAGCGCCGAAGGTGCCTTTTACTAGGAGACGCTTCGGTCCAATAATCACAGAGGATGTCCACTCCGGCTCAGCGACGATTATCTGACCTTGCCTTCGTTGAATAATGATGAAATTTTACAAGTATGAGTTATAATGTCTTACAAGGTCTGCGTTTGTGCTAAGGCTACAGCAGCAGCTTTTTTCGACCGTGCACTATTGCGTAATTCGTAAATATCGTACATAGTGTCGTCCAGCATAGAGTTTCTGTGATTATTACCTTAAACATTCCTATCCAATCTGAGTTTCATCTCGAACGTCGCGAAAGCATTGAGGCAAAGGTAATTGAAGCAGAAGGCAAGCTGCATTAGAGAGCCTGTCCGAGTGCGCTCTCCCACCGGGTAAGTAATCTCTCCCCTCCCCTACAGGCTTAGCCAGAAAGCGGCGTAGTTGGGAGAATCCCATCGTGTGTTCACAGTTTTCTGCTGGGAAGGAGAAGGTCGCAGTCGGCCTTGAGAGAAACTATCAGGATCCGCGAGAAAACATTTTTCGGTTCCTGACGCACTACAGTCAGTGGGGCTTGTCAGAGGGACTGGGTTCAGCGCGACGTGAGCCCATTCTCGCCAACTGTTGAAGCTGACAGCGACTATAAATGGAAAGAAAAGTGCTGGCGCAGTGCAAAATCTAGCAACTCCCCCCACCCTCCGCTCGTCCCACCCCGCACGCCCCAGCGTCCACAGCGAGCAAGTCTAGATATGTGCCCGCTTGACGAAGTCCCGCGGAACTCTCTGGAAATTGGATGGAAATGAAAGAATTTGGCAAGATGGCTGGTAGGATGGGAATGGTGGGAAGTTGGGGAGGTCGTACCAGGGAAGGAAGTTAAGTGGGGGGGGAAAAGGGTGTATTAAACAACGGCTTCTTCCACCTGTCCCATGCCATGCGTGCAGCACTAGGGCTCAGCTAGATACGCGTCAAACTATCTGGAGAGAGAGAGAGAAAGAGAGAACAGAGAGAAAGAAAGAGCGGTATATCCTCGCCCTTGTCCTCAACCACCACTTCCTAAAACTCAAAGCGTTTAATAGCTTTGGCAGAAAGAAAACACCGCTCACTTGGCTTTTTGTCATCAGCTTTGTTCTGATTTTCTCGGCCGAGTTTATTTGCCAGATTGCCAGCCGGATTTGGTGCCTTACCAAGGGCTCGAAGTACCTAATATAAAGTCTATGATATAACATTCACAACACTGAGGACCTGCTGTTCCCCACATCGGGGCAACGGAGGTAAAATGAATTAGCATGCAGCACCCTAAGCGAATACTGTCTCATACGGTGTGCTTCTCAAAATAAGAGATTCCAGACGGTCCAAATGTACCAGATCCCTTTCTCAAACGATTCGCGTGGTGTGCGCCTTTCGAGGTTCATAGGTGTAACACTTACTTGAAGGCAAAGCCCGCGACCACAGATTGTGGGTAACGGAACCCACATAAGAACGAAAAGGGCTAGGTATCTGATTAGCGGAGAAAAGCAGCAGAAAAACAGCCAAAAAAATGCCCTAAATAGGATTCCATATCGACCCCAACTTGTACATGCATGCAATGAAGAAAACGCATGTTTGTACGAATTTCCACTCGTCGTTATCATAAAGATATCAGCTCTTTTATCGTATCACCTCACTCTCACCATTCGGAATGGAGAGAGATAGCATAGTGGCTACTAGCTAGTAGCTAGCAGCCGGTGGGGTCGGCATGGCCTAAAGGGCGGCCTGAGCCGACAATTGGTTAAGCTGAGCGGAATTCTGCGGTTTTTCACGTTTATGAGTAAGGTACGCAAGCCTCCCGCAATCCCTCTTCCGGAATCGTACTGGCACATTTGAGAAAGGTCATAAGCGCGTTATTTTATCGCGGAAAGTGCCTTTAACAGCTCAGTGTTTCCGCTGAATCGTCGCCTTCTGCGGTCAACGGTTCTACGAATGGAGCGCTCTACACCTGACTGCTTACTGGGAATTTTGGCGTTGATTCAAGTGGCTGGATAGCGCAGGTGGTGTATGAAGAGGGTACCACATTTCTCCATCCCCATTCCCGTGCACTTTCGAGCGGAGAAAGTGACACGCTGCTGCAGCTGCGGACCCATTCACCCTGCACATAGAGGGGACCGTCTTCGGAGCTGGGTGTTCAGTTTGCCGTTATGAAAGGTATAGGTCCGCGATGAATGTGGAAGATTGTGTGGGAAGGTAATGTGGTCGTAATGGACAACCTTGTGCCAGTTTCCCGGCAAGTTGGGGGCGAGTTGCACCTCCCTCCTTGAGGCTTGAACGGATCCCTATTGAAGGCGCCTCCGATGTTCCCTCTGCATTTTTGTTCTGTTGAAGACGATCAGATGGCAACGTTCTCTTCCCTCTTTCAAACGCTCCTTGTCCGCGCATTGTACCACCTCAACGAAGCACCCGACAGCACCCGTGTTGCGCCTACATTCGCCATTTAGCATGGAAAAAGTTATGTGGCTTACCTCACTGAGCCGCATTTCATCTCCTTGAGTTTTCTCTTCCTTGATTTCCTAAATGAAAAGATTTTCACTGCTATGGTTAGCAACTCATCGATAGTATGTACAGAAGTTGGTTATCGATCGTTTGAAACGGAATGTCATAGTAACTACAGCTGTCCATTTTTAAATAGTGCATAAAATTTATAAATACACGAACCTGGTTAGGCTTCGCTGTATCAGGATCGCTTTTATCCTGCAAAATAGAGATTGAGAAGAGCTCCACGCTGTACAAACGCCACATACCCTCCCTCCTTGGAATCGCCTGTTATGATAGCTGTTGCTTATCGCCAAAAGTCACCACTTTAGTATAGAGCTGGGGACAAAAACTTGGCCCGAATCAAGACCCGAACCTGGGCATCACGCCTACCGCTTTAAGGCGAAACCGCGATTGCCAACATTAGAAACGTGAGTGTGAAAGGGTATGTGACAGGACAATCATAATTTTCCGCGCTGGTGGGCGTGGCCAGTGATGTCGCCCGTCACTGGGAATGCTAGCTTTCTTGTCATTGTGGAACATCTCACTCAAACTGCCACGCCCACTGCTGACCGATGAGTCGCTCGCAACGGTGTGGCAAATTACGATTGTCTTGACCTCTCCCTGTCTAAGGACTAAGAAAGAACAATGCAAAGACAGGCACGAGAGAACCCAATCAAACACCCCCCCCCACCCCCCTCCCAATACCACAAAATACGAACCACTTGTTTTGAACCATCTTAGCAATAATCACTAAAAGAGAATCAACCTTAGCCACTGAAGAGAAGCTGAGTGTGGGAAAGGACAAGACAAGACAAGCAGGACAAGAAGCTCCAGCTCAAGAAGAAAGAGAAACAGACTACGATATGTAGAGAGAAATTAGAGGTGTTCATGACCCTACCGCTATACGGCAATGAGAAAACGAAATGATGAAGGAGATGAGCTAACTCGAGGAAGGAAGACTGTATGGTCGTGCTCGGCTTTCGCATCTCATCTTAATGAACCCCCGAAAGTGTCATCCCTTCGATTGGATAAACCGTCGTCGCCTGAGCCTCCTACACAATGGGGAAAAAGACTTGCATAAGACCGAGATCCCGCGTTTATGTGAAAAGAGCTCGACGGTCGCAGTTGTCCCACAGAACGAGGTGGAATGAGCAGGAGTCCAACAGTCGGTCTAATCTTCGGGTGGAACGAAAAAACGCCGACTTCAGTCATAACTTATCTGAGCACTGGAAACGTGGCGGACCGCTGGAGTCCTTTAGCTCATGTGTGGAGCGTCACTTCTCAGAGCAGGATAGAATTTGCAAGTCGCACCAGGACCAACCCATTCAACATGGCAGCGGCACTGCGCGCCCATTTCACCTCTCAAGTCAGCTGGCACTGCAATGCCGCGGCTGGAGCAAGAGACCCTCCACATCCCGCTGAGGAGAACATGGACGAGTTGCGCGCGGCGGCAGAGCCTTATAGAAGAACAAAGTCGCGCCGCCGTAGCCCAGCTCTGTCACGACGTTCAGACTTCGTAATAACCCGCGTCGACGCGCTACGACGCGGAGCAACGTAGTCATAGATGAGCACCGAGGCCAGCCACCACTGTCTTGAGACTATAGAGGAGTGGGGAGGGTAGAAGACTGCGTGATAAGACAACGCGAACCCTCCTATTCTCTCACACCATCAAAACACAAGCGGCCGGCTCCGATCGATACGCGTTCATGGGCCCCGCCCCCCCCCCGTGACTCCCTCTGGAGCGCGGGTTTGCAGTAGTAGCGCTTCATGGCGCGTCGACGCGCGTCATCGTTAATTCTGGACGTGAACGCTGCCTAGGTAACGTTCAGAATAACCAAAACGTCATTTGCACAGAATCTCGATACCGACGGGCAATCTGTAACCACCGTACTCTGTAACTGAACTTGCCTACGATGCAATCGTTATAACCTACTCTGAAAGGTTGACTGCAGAAAACTATGCCCGGATGTGAATGCATATGAACTCCCCCTGATAATGAAACTTTTTCTTTTACCTAGTGATGGAATACACATTACTGAAATGCATGGATTAGATGTGAAAGACAGCGCTAGACACCTCGGCTGACAAGACTGAACTCCTACCAACAACGATTGAAGCATGAAAAGCACCAACGAATATGGAGAACTACAAGTGAACTGAACCCTACCTAGCTTCACATGAAATGATAACACTACTGATGATCAATTCTCATTTTCCATAACAAACACTCGAGTGACCAACCGGTCGAACGTACCGTTTCTGCGGAAATATTCGACATCGCTTGGTCCTCATATTGCACCAAAAGTGTAAATATCAGTGGGCTTGTAACCTTCGCATGGCGACACCCGCTATGGATTGATGACCATCCCTTTCTAGAACCCTTCATGGTATCTTATCCAGGGCACATCGTTGGTTGGGAAATCCCCAACAGGGGGTCGTATTTTGCCGCCAGGAGAGGGGGGGTCGTAATGAGTGCGGTAGCCAGTAACGAGCAGCGCAAAGGTGTCAGTGTGCTGACAAGTCGTACAGCCGAATTTGCTTCGTAAGAGAACTCGGATATGTAAAAAAAATAGTACAAAACTTCCATTCATCAAACTATCTAACTGGAAATATAAAAAGTCGACATCATCTCGTAAGTGACTAAACAGTACAACTCATACTCTGGTTCGCTGCGGATGATGGGGCGTGTCCGCGATCGCGCTTGGCGCTGAGCCAACCTGTTTTTTTTTCGACAAACGACAGGACTACCATATCGTTCGTATCAGACGTTTTCTAGCAGTTGGTCTCCTTCATCGGAATCAGCAATTGGCGGAGCACGAATCTGGCGGCGTCGACAGGGACACGCTCCATCATACGCAACGGAAAACACTGTAAACAAGTGCACAGGTTCGCCATGGACCTCCCTGAATCCTATAGACACATTTGCTCGCGTGGACAGACATTACGCTCAAACATATTTTGCTGCGCAAACCATCCATCACCTTCTGCGCGGACCCTCAGTGCGCGGCGCATCCAAAGTCAGCGTGATCGGCGCTAAACGAACCATATTCTGCTCCTGCTCCACCACAGGATACGTTCTACATGTATTTCTGGCTATTCGAACACGCTCCTTGAAACCGTACACAGAAAACGGACTTTCGAACAGTTCGGAGTGTTCCCCAAACGCAATTCTCATGACTCCCGGAAGCTTCAAAAAACGTTCAAGTAGTTTTTGGAAAGAGCAAATCTTCTAGAACTCGACAGTAGTTTCAGATTCCCAAACTATTGAGGTTCAAGGGAAATATCTTGGTTCAAACCTGTAAAACTCGCGCTCCAAACTATCCAAAAAATGAAATCCCTAAATAATCCCAACGCAAATTTCTACATGAAATCGGCGATCTTTATGTACATGTTAGTATGTTTTGGAAAGATAAAATCTTTCTCCATACCACTGCGTTCTTCTTTTTCCCAAAGGTCCGCTATTACGGAAGTTATGGTCCTTTAAAGAGACCCCACTTTCCTGAAAGTCCGCGCTCCAATCAAACCACCTGCAACCACCTTGCGGCTGGAGGTCCTGCCCAGAATCCCTCCCGGTACCTCGGCCTTTAATCAGCTGATTGCGGCTGGTTTGCTCTCGTCGTTATTTACTCTTTCGTGTTTATCTTCTTCTCGGTTTATTCGAATATCGAATATTTATCTTCTCTCAGTTTACTCGAATACGCGTCAGAGCGCGCCCCAGCAATTTTGCTTGGACCGCTCAGAGTGCTCTTAGGAGGAGTTGGCTTAATTTCCTGTTTTTTCTTTTAATTGCAATTGATTCAGGTACCAGAGTTTGTTTTGACTCGAGGAAAGGTGGGAAACCTAATGGCCTTTCTTTTCTATTCTCTTTTCTGAATCAGGATAGAAATGAGCAAAAAGCGAGGGGGCCTCGTTCAGGATTGTTACTTTTTCCATTTTTCGCGCTTACTTATACATAAACTTATGAAGTTTCTTCCTCCTCGGGGGAGGGGGGGGGGAAGAAACTTCTATGTTTATGGTATAGGGGGGTACGTAACCGAAACCCCCCAAAGGGGGGTCGTAAAGGGCTTCAACCGAATCCCCAACCAATGATGTGCCTGTCTTATCAGCTGTTATCCAATTCCTGGCACCACCAAAATAAGTGTTCCCGTCCCTGTCCGTATCTTGCCTACTGGAATTGCGTTCTCCACTTGCTGTGACGCGCGTTATGGCTTTGTTGACCCTCCCTCATTAAGACCCACCACGGTATCGTATCAGCTCTTACCAATTCTCGCCACCCACCAAAAATGTTCCCATCCTGCCCCCTATCTTACGTTTTGGAACGCAATTGCCGCCGCCGTTGCTGTGGCCCGGTTGTGACCCTCACGCCTTCTAAGACTCCTTATGGTATCTTATCAGCTGTTATCACTTCCTACCACCCACCAATAATGTCCCCATGCTGCCCCCTATCTTACTTATTGAGACCAACGTCCTCTGCTGGCACGCCCCCGCTATGGATGTCGGTTACCGTTACTGACCTTCAAGGCTGCCTTATATCATCTTATCAAATCTTATCAGTTCCTGCCACCTACCAATAGTGTTCCTGCCCGACCCCCTACATCACTTATCAGTTTGAGCGCTCTGTCGCTCTTTTGAAGGAAGTTATGAATTTTCGGTCAAACACAACGTACAGACACAACACACAGCACACACAGCAACTGCACAACACACAACAAACACACACTCCAACAGACAAACTTAGCGATTATATAGAGTAGGATAGGTATTTCTATCCTTGAACGGTGAACACCAAAACTTAACAAACCTAGGTACTACACTTACTAAAACATCCTCCTTACCCGGAAGTAATATACCTCTTCAGTATAAAGCCTGAAGAGTTCAAGTAATAAAAACCTTCTAGCTGAATAAGGCTGTCAACAGCTATTCGGACGGTGCAGCTGTCGCGGTAGCGTGCATGTAGGGCAGCACAAGCGGGCCACACGGGGGAAGATTGGCGCGAAAAGTTGCGAGCAGGGGGAAGCATCGTGATGAGTGAAATGGCGTCAGTAAGACCTCTTCAACCAAAACCTTCTTCGTTTGGTACGACCCCTACTACCTACCCAAGTTCTCCTGAGTTTCCTTAATCCGCTTTCTCACCTTTTTACAGGCAAAATCTTTTTTTCACCTTTCCCAGGTAAAACTGCGGAGTGGGGTGGAGAAGTTTGCAGCCCGAACCGCTGCTAAAGTCTAGTTATCGGGAAATGGTAAGCGAGAAACAAATGTGGCTGTTGGTGGCACGCACACGCTCACCACGTCGCGCAGAAGGTCCCGATCTGCAGATCGCTCCGGCCGTGCCAAACCAAGTCTTGCATCCTCGCAATGGACTATGAAATTAGTATCAAATTGTGGTGGCTAAGATAAAATTATTCGACATTGTCCATCGACTTGGTCCCCGAAGGAAATTGTGCCACACCGTCCACCGCGATTCTGAATGGAAGTAGGATGCATCCTCCCCAAACGGGATTCATCAAAGGCGGAGACATCCTGTATTTATCTCTTATCGAAAGTAACAGTTGCATAGGTTATGAAGTGTCGCCAAATAGGGGGGGGTGTCAATTCAGTTTTTCGTAGCTCACTGTTGAACTGTGGGCGCAAGCAACACCCAAAACGAAAGTTAATTTATGCCACCGAATGAAGTTACCTTCAAGGAAAACAGAGACGTGTTGTCCCGCCTCTACTCATCCAGTCTGCAGAACGGAGTTTGCCCAAGGCATCTAAGCTCTTCAGTTTCTTAAGAATCATTTTGATAACTAATTTTGATAGAGATCTAGATTTAGTATTATCTGGAATGTGACTGTGCGAAGTGACTGTACGAACAAAGTATGCATTCAGAGGCCGTCATGACTCCTTCAAACGATGCGTGGCATGTCTCAGGGGAACTGACCAACGTCTATTAATATATCTGCAATAATTTCACATTTTTTTACTCGGAATTATCAAATAAAAACAACAACAGCAACTATACGGCTGAAATAAAATAACATCAAAACAACAATGTGGCGTATAACATCAACATCAACAACATTTCAAAACGCAAGGGTAACATATAAAACTTGCGAAAAAGAAGTCTCAACAAGAACAAAATTTTCAGCTAAACGTGAGCATGAGAATACTAGCTCCTAGGCTGTTTAAGTGTTCTGGAGATAGGGGCACAGAGGAAGCAAGCAATCATGTGGTTGGGATTTTAGTCGACTTCCGACATCTATTCGACCCCCCCCCCCTTTTTTTTGGGGTATCAGCACTTGTGAAACAGGAAAGTCACGAAAAGTCCAACCACTCACTCCCACACTCTCTTAGGAAGTGCCAGTTAAATAAGAACCACCCCACTCCCCTTTAAAGTCCATGAAGCGAGAAAAATCAACTATGCAAAAAAAGTTTTCAAAACGCACCCCCCTGGCGACCCAAAATACGACCCCCCCCCCCTATTGGGGATTCCCCAGCAACGATGTGCCCTGGTAAGGAGATCTATGTTGCGGCGAAAGCGGCATACGCAACGGGATCGAAATGACTCAAGAAGAAGGCGCTACAATACATCCGATCAAACTAACTCGGAAACACTATGTAACTGCTATCACACCGCAAAACATGGAACTCCCGATGTGGCATCGAACATACAGCCCGGCTGGACCCCTTGCGAATGGCCATATAACACCAATGGAAACCTGGACTTTCATTATAAAAGCAGAGAACGTGAAGGGTTTAAACTACGAAGAGGGGTACGTAGGCTCAGAAAAGTGGTACAGGGGATAAAGAACGGGAAACGTATACTTAGGCGTTCCGCCAACTGAGTAAGAATGACACCCAGTTCACTTTGCCCCTTCTAAAAGTTACGCGGTAACCCAAATGAGGAAGGGGCTAATCCTATGAAACAAAAAGCTGAACTACTGGACCCTGGGTCATTCCTACGCTTTATGTCGGCCTACTCAACAGTTGAATATGTGCTAACCACAAGAACTGCCTTGGACAGATGAGGTCTACTGCTCAAACTGTAACAAGCGTGGAACAAACATTCGCAGAAGGCTTATTAGATTGACCGTAATCTCAGCTTGACTGGGTGAGTCATGGCCGAGGTATGTGAGAAGCGTGCGTGCAATGCAGGGACAGCTGCGATTGGACACCATTCGGTGAACGCCCTGACTACGGTCGTGCTCGGCGATGGAGAGAAACGCGCTTTGGCGCATTCAGCCGATGTAGGACGACAGGGCCACAGCACCTAACTACAAACAAGACGAAGTTAAGTGACAGGCGTGTACATGAGCGATACACAGGAAGGACTCCGACTGGTTTTCACTACTTTGACAAGAGCAACGGACAGGGCGATGGGTGAATCACCTAATTCCAAAAGAGGATTAGTTTGAAGTAGGGAAATTTAGATGTCAGGACTGAAGTCATACAACTATCGGTGCAGTTTGGCATGAACGGGGCATTCTAAACTTCTGCTAGTTCGTTTTTCTGGTTCATGCTTGATGACAGGATCCCCTTTGGTGAGACCTGTAAACTCCTGCGAAAGTTGCGAACCAGTGCGCGTGATCTTCTTTCGGTACAGGAATTTACAAGTTTTGACAAAGAGGCCTGTACAAGCTTAGCTGAGTACCATTCGGTACCCCCACCAAGCCGAACTGCGCACAGCTATCTCGGAGAAACATCGAACAGCTCAGAACTGAATCTCCCTTGAAAAGACAAAGGTAATGTTACTCGCATGATAGCCCGTATTTCTGCTCAAATGCCGGCTTTCTTTTTGCTTCTTTACGAGCTTCTTTCTTCGCCTTCCTCTTCATGTAATTATCAAGCTTGTTATCCTTTTTCAACTGATTGAACTTCTTTTCCATCTGCATTAGTCGAACCTTTGCTGAAATGAGCACTGACTGAGTAAGACGGAGCAAATAGCGATTACTGGGACACAAAATCACAAACACATCTGTTGAGAAAACTCGTCTTTGAGGATATTCAGTGCCCCTTAGCGCTAGAGGATAAGAAACCTTAGGTGAAATTCGGGGCCAATTTGGCATCACCAGTTTTCACCACAGTCGCTATAAACCCGCACTCAAGGGTAAACAAGGTTCCTTATCACGAAAAAACCCCTATAGACCAAGTTTCCATCAGAAATTGAGCTTTTGAGAATTTAATAGTTCGATTATTCATCTTTCTAATATAACAGGTGCGTAATGCCCCATAGAGTCATTAGGAACCAAAAAAAAAAAAAATCAGAAAGAAACAACATATAGCCCACCTTTTGTCTTGAAAACGGGTCGTTCTCCACGCATCATTCGTTCGATATTTTCCTGTCGTAACTCTTTGTACGTTTCTTCTTTCAGTTTTCGTTCTGCCTTTGTTCGTTCACGGTTATCCATTCGTCGAATAGCCTAGCAATACAATACATCATTTTCAGAGATACAAATAGGTAAAATATATAAATGAATTTTTAACTGGACATCATATGAACTGAAAAAAGTCCCCAATCTCTACCTCACGTATCTTCTGCGCCATATCAGTGTCTCCTTGCTCATCACATTCCGCAGCTTGTTTGCCACAGCTCCTGAAACACTACAAGAGATCACAACTGAAACTCTAAGCTGAAGAAACCCTTCGAACTTCTTAGGAGTTCTTAATAGCCAACATGTTTCCGCAAAAAGGTCCCCTCCCCCTGGTTTCAGATGGAAATTCGGACTTGAACCCTGGCTGTCAACGAAACATGACACCTGCTTTGACACCTATCTCAGTGCGGCTGGAACTGGTGGCACCAGGTGAGAACCCGCGGGGCTAGACTATGAAGATAAATGCAGATTCGGAGCTCAATACTAATTGCTACACAAAGGTCACCAAAGAATCTGTGAGCAAAGTCAAGGTCGCTTTATATCAGCAGCTATACACATGTGAGCTGGTGCAGTTGAAAGTGGCCCACTCACTACGCTCGAGGTCCTGAGGTCAAAGCAAACCCCGTCCACTCTCGAGGCACGGGGTAATCGGTAGCAAATTCGCCTATGATGACGAAAGCGATTTTTAACGCACATCTGTCACCCCATCCCTTCCCCCTACCCCACCACTGCAGCAATCCACTCCGATCTGAATGGAAGAAGACTGGTAACCTCATTACAAGAATTAATTGAACATGAAATTAATGAGAAAAGAATTAATGAGCTGCAGAAGAATTCTTTTTGTCCTTTAAACTAATCGGATTCCAGGTAAATAGTGCTGCTTCAGAGTTGTAATTAGCAGCTGAAAATGACTTGCTGAATACTACCATCTGAAACGTCCTCAGTTGCCTTCATGGTGCACGCCGTAGCAGCATGGCGTTCAGGGACAAGGATACTGACACAAACGGTTTCGGCGACGAGGATGCATTGGGCTATGAGGCGCTTACGGCCAACTCGGCGGGCTACTAAGGATTCCGCGTAAGTTGTGGAGGAATTTCTGCGACCAACTAAGGCTAAAGAACGGACAAAGAAGAGTCCCGGCAACACCCACAAATGATGATGTCCCATCAGCTAGTTCGACTCTGTGGGGACTAAAGTGATCTACCCAAACTGTTTCGCGAATGAACGCCTTACAAAGGTTCGGGTTACTTTAATGGCTATGAATCTGGACATAGTTACTTCTCATGGCTTTTCTTCCTCAACGGAGCAGATAGGAGTGAAGACTAGCGTGAAAGCACAATGTCAGAAGGCAGGACCAGAAATGTGGCTCCAGTTGTAGTAGTTAGGACTGTTATGCTCGGGAATGGAGTTCTGGTAATAGGTACACGGGGTTATCACTCATCTGACCATGGCTGCTGGATGACCAACCCGATCAAATTGCTAACCTACTCGAAGCCTGGTATTTGCCTTGTTTCTTTGACTTCTTGATTCAACAAAAAAATCAACTCTATGTCTAACCCATCGGCTTCCTCCAAGTCCATGACCAGGATAGTCATCTTGATGCCACTCACCTCCCTCTCTTGTCTCCTCAAATCATTCAGGAAACTGTAATTGTCTTCAAAGCATCTTTCCTTGAACTCGCCCGCTCGATTATCGAACCGTGGGTCCCGTTTTCTAAAATTCCAAAAACAAACAGATAAATGTCGTTACGCTAAACATAAGGCAATGACTTTCAACAGAGTCTAGGGTAATCCATACAAGAGCACAATAATGGCTCGAATAGAATGCAGAGTAATAAATAAGACAATCGCAAAACCTTCTATCTCTTTCTCCCTTCACGAAAAAAGAAATGGTTTTTTCCGGTGGTTTCATGGTACTTTTGAGTTTCGTGAAATTATTCTTAAAAGTTCACTGACCCTTTCCTAATATTCGTACTAAAGCTACCATTCAAAGTCAGTTCAAAAATGGAAATGACAAGGCAAACAAGCTCAAAGTCTAGTCGCATCCTTTCGAACACCACAAGGGGTGCGTAGATTGGTGTGGAGGGACGAAAGCACTGATCTGTACAGTTTGGTTCGCTGAGCATGAAGGGCATGTGGTGGAATGTGTTTGGCCCGGCGCCAAAGCCGTTTTCCATCAGTTGTTGAAACGAGCAAGTGACACGACTGCATTGCATCATTCGTATCAGTCGTTTTCCACCGACTGTTTTCGCTCACCCGCTTCAACCAGTGGTGTAGAACGGCCTCGGCACCGCGCCGAACCCACCCCGCTCGATCCGCCCCTCGTCCACAGCGAACGAAATGTACACCGACTGATTACCGTGAGCCATTTACAGCTCGAACTCGACTGCAGCCACGACTCTGAATGGTGGTAGAATGTGTGATGCCCCCCCCCCTGACGAAGGGCAAGTTCAAGGGCTTTACACTTTCAACATCGTACATTTGTAAAAGCCTTCAGCCTTGCGGTTCACTGCCGATATCGGCTAACCGGCTCATCACGTTGAACGTGTGAGTGCTCGAAGGCAATGGCACAAATAGCCATTGAGCTGAGAGGTCAAAAGT